GTGAGCTTTATTGGAAATAATAGTGTGCACAGTGAGGTATGTTGCAAAGAGGTATAGTGACAACTGAGAGACACAGTAAACGATTCCTGGGCTCTGAAGATGGAATGAATTGAACACTCAACAAAGAAAACATACCGGCTTTTTTAAAATAAGACTACGGGACTCTGCCAGTACAGAAATACAGGTAAAAAATAAGAAGAAATAATTGAATAAAAAAATAAAAAGTGATAAAAATAAAGAAACAGTAAAAAAAAATGTAAAGTAGCCCCGCCCCAAGGCCAGGTTCCACAATATGCCCCCCCCCCATCTGGTTGCCATTCTCAATTGATGGGAAGGGGGACTAGCGGCACGCGGGGGGGGGCGTATTGTGGAACCTGGCCTTGGGGCGGCAGGTGGAGTAAATCCGGCCCTGTACAGGCGATACCATTTTTGACAGTGTTGAAGGCATGTGATTTGTAGATGTCACCCTTATCCTTGTTTATAACTTACTGAGTTACTTAACCAAGTCAGTGACTCACCAAGTAGTAAAGAATGGATCAGAATGTCTGCCTTGGAACTTGCATCTTCAAAACCAAGCCAACAATGGAAGCTCCCATATTCCACAGATTAAAGTCACCTGACCAATAAGAATGCCCAGGCAGCATTCTTATTTGTCAGGTAGGGTAAAGCTTAATTTACATATCATTTCAGCTTCCCTTAACTCTTGTTCTGATGATGATTACATCAGTTAGTTTTCATGAAAGATAACTGCTACTTCATTATATGCTCAGCTTGAATTTTCTACGTTTGTGGCAGGTTTATAAAAATAAAATTATATAAAATATTGTTATAATGTAATTTAACTGATTACATTTTAGTATTCAAAACAGTTTGATTTCAACCACTATAGAATATATTGAAAATCATAAACATTTAGACTTAAAAGATGGTTTTGAACACAGACAAAAATCATTTAAGTCTATCAGTTTTATGGCGTATTCTTGTACATAAACTTTCAAGAATATAGAAGTCTCTTTATCAGAAAGTACATTGGATGTCACTGTAACACCTTGCTAAACTGATATATTGGTATATTTAGAGGCATTATTATCAGTGATGCAGTCTGCTTATTCTGAAATAAATGTTCACAAGCAGTACATACTAGGAAACATGGTACAAAGCATTGTGGTAGTGGTGGCACTCAGATGAATTCAATTAACAGAAGTAAGAGTTTGTTAGTGTTAATTATGAATTATCTAAGATATAATCAGGATGTAAATGCTGCATGACTCTGCAACTGCTGTGAAGATTTAAAAAAAAACATCTCTGCTGTATTAACACTAATGTTAATAGCTCTATCTCTACTTTATTTAACAACATTTACAGCTTTGGTTATAAGTTAAATATTTCTGTTTCATTTACTAAATTACATGCTTTGCCATGTCATAAGAGAGTATATTTTATATTTAAAGCTAACATATTTTATGTTTAATATGTATTCCTGTATATTCTTTTAGTGCAGTATGTTTAGAGCAAGGCATCAAACCGGGATAGGATGTGTTTTGTCCACCTGATGATTGATCAAGTTTGCAAACAGGCCTTCCAATTAAATTAAATAACAATAAGTAATGCATATGTGTGGGGGGAGGTGGGAGCACTTGCCAGCTGGGTAGATATTAAGGGTGAATCCACCCTTGGGAATGGGACCTAAAGAAATGTCTGTACATTATTGGCCACACAATGAAGATTATCAGTGATAATTTAGATAGGTATATGGGTATTATAGAATTGTTCAGTAGAGGAAAACAGGTTTGAAGTTTAAAAGATTCATATAACATATCAAAACAATGAGATGCAGAGATACAGGCAGGTATACTGTATGAAAATGTCCCCTTCTCCTTTAGAAATCCACCAACTCTTCCCACACCCTGAGATACATAGGTGCTTTAGCTATATATGGCAATTATTATTTAGGATCGCACAGGGCATGTGTGAATTCTCCCTATAGACAATTCATGCAAGAAAACTAACATAGGGGATAACCCTTCTTCACTCTGTCAAAAAGTGTTTTGGTTGCTGTCCTTTTCTCCATTTGAGAGATTTATCATTGCTTCCTGCTCAAGTGACAACATGTTGCTGTGACATGTGAGAGTAAATCTCCTCAATTGGGACACAAAATTCATAGAAACATGTTAGAGGTTCCAACCATTTACCACACTATCCAAAACAAAGAATAAGGTTTGGCTGAAGTTGGGCTCTGAATCAGTGGCGGAGCTAAGGAACAAAGGGCCCTGGTGCACGATCTTTTTTGGGCCCCCCCCCCCATAAACCCACAAACACAGTCTTACTGATCCGGCGGCCGGCATCTTGCTTGGGCCCCCCCAGAGCCTGAGGCCCGGGCACCCACACTGCCTGCACCGGCGGTAGTTCCGCCACTGCTCTGAATATTTTTTTGCTAAAGATACTTGTTTTATTTTTTTTTGCTAAAGATACTTGCTTTATTTTTTTTGCTAAAGATACTTGTTTTATTTTTTTTGCTAAAGATACTTGTTTTATTCTCAGAAGTGGATTTTTAGCAAATGTGGGTGTGTTTAGGTGGGTCAGATAAAGTGGTTAAATGATAATAATGTGTCAGATTGGTTTGTTATATTTGAGGGATATAATTTTTCCATTTCCACCACTTATAGTTACATTTGTGTATTCTGCACACCAGGTACGTACACAAAATCATTGTTTTGGAAAGATTGAAAGGGGCACATGTGGTATGGTGATGGATATATCAGACTTACTAAAAGCACAGAATACATTTTTTAACCTAAACATTATACAGAAAAAACATTGCATATGAATTCGTGTCCTGGTTACCTGCTAACCAGGGACACTGATCTCCAAACAGCTAACTCTCCCTGGCACTCCGGGAGTCTCCCGCTCCTAGCCACCAAGGAGAAAACACTGCTGTTTCTTTTTTTTTATTTATTCTGACACGGAGCGATGTCAGAAAAAAAAAAGTACCCGAAGCCATGTGAAGCAAGCCGATGTACGGCTGATTTCAGCCGTACCAGCCTGAAGTGAATAGCCGAACAGTGTTCGGCTCACTTCACTTGGTGTGGGTTGTTCACTCGGCTGCCCTCGGCAGCTTAGTGAATAGACTAGTATGTGCCAATAAAGCCCCCCAAAAATATATACAAGCTCCTATATAAAAAGCCAATTGTTCTAATGGGGTTGTGCCATGGACCTTTCTTCACATATGAATCAGTCTTCAAATAAAGCTCTTGTGCCTTAAACTGTGCATCCGATTATTTGTCTTTAATCCTCAAGGACATTTCCTGTGAATTTTTCTAGATAGTGTGTTCTCCTTAGGATTATTGCACACACATTTCAGCAAATTTTTAAATAGAACAAACATGCTGCATGGAGCTATTACACACAAGTGCAACATCAAATGATGACAAAATTCAATTAAAAACAGAACTCTTCTTCTTTATCAATAAATCACTATCTGTATGTTTTTTTTAAAAAAAACCTACCATAACAATGATTAGCTTTCTGTACCAGGAGGGAATGTAGAAAAAGAAAAAAGTAAATGCTTTACCAATAACAGATCTACATCGGAGGTTCTCAAGCCTATTATTAGGCCACACCAAGTTTGAATACTTTCTGACAGTACACACAGGAGCATGGGCAAGTCTACATTTGGAGTTTTCCAGATTTCTGCATGAATGGCTCCTAAAATGTAATGTGATCTTCCTCAAAGTTATGATACATATATGCCTATATCATTGGATCTACTGATCATTTTGACATGCAAGGACTAACTAAGCATTTTTCATTATATGTTCAGTTTGAATTGACCAAGTTTGTGACATGTTTACTTTAATTCCAATTGAATGTTTTGTCAGGATTTAAAAAAGCACTTCAGACAAGAGCTGTGCAGGTTGGATCATCTGCTAGAAAAAAAAGAGTTTGGTTGAGGAGGTTCCAGTGATTACAAAATAACCTAAAGCCTATTTCACACAGGCATTCCAATCAGGTCTACCTGTCAGCTTTCCAGGTGGTTCTAATAGGAAGCTCAATGTTAGTCTATGGGCAGCCAGATCTAAACGGATGTGCGTCCATTTACCCCCAATTCTGGCCAGGTCTGGAAAAACAGACAGATCAGAGTTCTGTTTTGGTGGACCTGATCATGGTGGACATTGTCCATTTACATCTGATTCCCCATAGACCAACATGAGTCTGGTAATTACCGTATTTTGCGTTCCATAAGACGCACCGGGCCATAGGGCGCAGGGAGGTCCGGTGAGCCTTATGGAGCACTCGACAGACTGTAGCTTCTGTCACAGCTTCTGTGACAGAAGCTGTGACGGAAGCTGCAGTTAGTGACAGCTGATACAAGTGGCGCTGTGATTACGAGTGATCTCATTAGATCACTGGTATTAAACGAGCAGTGGCTCCTACAAAAAACTACTCGCCTGAAACTGCATGCCTCGGGCGTCGGGATTTGCTCCATAGGATGCAGGCACATTTTCCCACTCCTTTTGTCTTATGGAGCAAAAAATACAGTACATTTTTTGTGGGTTCCAGTAGTTTCAGTGTCACAATGGGCGCCTTCAGTTCTGATCAGCAGAAGATCCATGCCGGATCCCCTGCTGATTGGAACAGAAGGCGCCCATGTGAACGGGCCCTAACTTGTTTCATTCAAATGTTCAATAATGACATGGAAAGTTAAAATCTTTGTGCGCAGTAAAAAAGAGCGTCTATTATGTGTGACTTAGATAAAGATGATATTATACTTAAAGCACCATTCATTCAAAAACTTTGAAAATCCTTAGGTTTTCACAAACTTAGTCAGCACTGCATCTACTTAGTTTGACCAATGCTTTATCTACCTGAAAGAACACAGAAACTATTAGTGATGCTTAGGGGAAGTTAAAGACTCCATGATCTAGAGAAAACAAACATGAATTGCAGATAATCAGACTGATTACACAAGAAAACAAACAAAAAAGAGATTATCGCTTAACCTGTTTTTTCCGAGTTGCCATTGATGGTAGGGATGGAATTGAAGATAGTCTTTGCATTGTCCTTGATAGAAATAGTTTTCTGCTTAATTCTCATGGCTTCCAGTGCTTTGAGCTTCTTGACGTGTTTAGTGCCTTTGTAGTGTGCTGCAGCCTGGCTCTACAAAGGAGAACAAAATGAACCATACCATCATGCTCATTTCTAGACTTACTTTTCTGTAGTAATACATACAAGTCAGCCCTTCTAGGTTAAAGTGAAGTGGGCAAATAGAAACCAAAAAGCCCCTTAAATAACATTAAAATCTTCTTTCCATTGAGGCAACAGACATAGTACAATCTTAAAGTATCACTAAGAGCTCCTTCACACCAGCCCCATTGGGCTGAATTGGACAGCATTGCCCATCCTATTCCCAATGCATAGACAAGGCAATTTGCATTTTCTCATATTGGTGTGCACCAAAAAAAGTATAACATGTTGCATATTTGTGCAGCATGTTCTTACATGCTATAACACATTAAAAATACTGCTGTGCATAGAGATAATCAACTGTCAAATTATATAAACTTTAAAAACAAATGATAGAGAAAAGCAAGCACTTCAGTGCATTTTACAATTCTTCACAGCATGTGTGCTTGACACACACCAGTTAATGCTCTTTATACACACCTTAACACTCATCCGCTGGTGTGAATGAGCCCTAAAACTAAATTTTTGGTAAACTTTACAGTAATAACTCAAAAATTTGATAAATTAGAATACACATTGCTCATTATCCAACAAATTCCATCTTTTTTGAGCTGTTATAAATCTTTTGGTGTTTATAATAAAATAGGCACCCATATTACAAGAACACTGGATGTTTTAAATCTATTAGGCATAAATTGCATTCATGCATATTTTACACACTTACAAAACACATATAAATAGATGAAGTACAACAGTTTTAGAAAATTTCAGAAGATCTGTTATCCAAAGGAAAATAAGTTGTACCATATTACTGTGCTGTGTTAGACACAGAAGAAGGCAGAAAAAGTTAAGTTAAAGTGACATAAAATATTGGTGCACTAAAGTGAGATTTAAAACCTTGAATTTATTATTTATTCCTTTAGCCAATACACACATGATTACATCACTATTGAACAGATTGGCTATGAAATCAAGGGCAACTTGGCGATTGGTCAATTTTGTTCCATTTCAGATCACTGCTAGGACTGATGGCCTTTTCCTTCATTTAGTGATTGTTAGAATTTTACCTTTGGCTTAGACTTCTTTAAAGTTAGAACCTAGCAGATAGAGATACAGGCAAGCCAAAGGGTCTCAGTAGTTTCCTAATGGACCTGCAGCTCTGCTGTGGTAGGATGTGCCATTTATTGACTTACTCAACTTGCATGCCCCCCTTTCCCTATGACATCACTGGGATAAAAAAGGGATTCTCTAAATACATATTTTGTCAGGAAAAACAATGAACCTATGGCTTTGATGAAATGTAGCTTGTAAATTATGTATTTTTATGTCTTATCAATGATTACTTATATAGTACAAGGTCATTGTCATCATTAACACAATGACCATCATCAATATGAATAAATACTGTAACATTGTTTTAAGTTTAACTCCAGCCAACCCATGTTCTTTGTTATGGATACAATGATGAAGGAAAATACTCTCTCTTGGGATTATATTGCTGCCTGAGGCCTCAGTGGGAAGATTTCACCTCACTTGCTATTCGGGTAATAACAAAATTATTGGATAGGAGGTGAGGAAAAAGCTGCAACTGAAACAAAGACAGCAATTAACAGCTAACAAGGATTCTGGCCCTCCTTTACTGTTCTCATTGCTCTCTGTGCCCTGTTGGAGATTTCCCCTCACTTCCTGTCCTGGTGACAGCTTTGTCACCAGTGAAGGAAATTAGGGGAAATCTCCCCAACAGAGTCTAAGGGATAAATAAAAGCTGACAGGGATTCTAAACCTTCCATAATCTATGCTAGAACCTAGAGGAAATGTATTGGCTAGATAAACAGTTTAACATGTATTATACATAATTTTTTCGCACAGTGGGTTAAGAGCAAGCTATGTGATTAGCTCTAATCATGGCCTCACCTACCTGAAAGTAAAAAATACTTAAAAAACATTAAGTACCAATACAGCAGTTATAAAAATTCACACTATGTGTGCTTTTGGCATGTAGATGGGCATTCCCATTGAGCATACCCATTCATATTTGGTAGGCCCCCAATATGTGTGTCAATGGGCCAAAAAATGTATCTTCCTCATTTTTTTCCAGCCCACCACAATGTAACGCATGTGTCCTTTATTATTTTTTTATTTTGTTTTACTTGCTGATGTATGTTAAAGAGCAGGTGGATTTGTTTACTCCATGAATGCATGTTTGGATGCCAGTGATAATTAATGATAATGCACTGCAACATGCATACACAAACTTTTGACACAGATGTTAACACACATGCAACAGTGTAAATATTCAGCCATTCCTTATGTACTGGATTATTGCAGCTAAATTCATTTTAAAAATAAAAATTGTGGAGGGGGGGAAGAACTCAAATGCAAAATAATTCCACAAAGTGTGTTGTTACTATTCTATAGCAGAATTTAGGAATTATGTTAAATTTAGGTAATGGGGAATCTAATTGGCCAAAGTTGGTAGAACACCATTTCTGACCTTTGCAATTTTTTTTATTTTTCATGTACAATTTATGAATTTAGAAAGGTGGGGGATACTCATTCGTTATGCCAGTTTCACCTTAAAATAGCTGCTGAAGGCCAGCCGAACAAACATGAGGGCCATCTGTGTCCTAAATATTCCACTTTTATTTAAAAAAGTTTATAGGTTTTTCTTTTTCAGATTTGAATTTACTTTTAACAACATTATTAAAAAAGTTTTATTTTAACAGGTTGCAAAATGTTTATGCACATGTTTTAAGTCGATGTAAATGACAGCCAGTGAGTTAGATCAAAACAGGATTGTGCTTGCATAGTAAACGAGTTCATCATTAATCATGTCCTACATAAACCTTACACTGAGTGAATCTGTATTCATTATTTCCAAACTGTAATCAAAATGTAATCTATCAGTCTTTTGCACAAATTAATGTAAATTGTTTTAAGCAAGCATCAGCAGCAAGTTGATTACCCTTTTCTGGCTCTGATGCAAAGTGATAGCTATAGTCTGCTCTGTCCTGTTGTTAAGTGATTGGTGAATTAAGTGACATTTATGTTCGCTAATAATTCATCACTTATTCAAACATCATTTGCATAGAATTCCATAATATTCTAAAATAGGATATAGATAAATAAGTACTCTGGAAAATGTTGACATTATTTTAAAATACTAGCAAAATGCAAATCACTTCTTACAGCCATGATTCTTATTTTACAAATACTGCACCTGAAATTTTCCATTGTTACTGCAAGCTTTCAAACAAGCAGAAGTGCCTATGAGCTGCCAAGCCCTCCCCAGAAACCTTCAATGATCAGAGTAACCCAATCACTCACCTACTGATGAGGGGGGAAATTATCAAAACTGGAGCAGACAGAAACTGGAGCAGTTGCCCAAGGCAACCAATCAGCATCTCTCTTCAGTTTGCTCAGGTAAGATTTGAAAAATAGACAGAGAAGCTGATTGTGCAAATTTGCTCCAGATTTTGTCTGCTTCAGTTATGTTAAATCCCCCCATGTGTCAGTTCACAATCACTTCCTCTGCATGCAAAGTTTGTAATCACTCAGGAATAGCAATTCCCTTAGTCTTTCCAATAGTTAGATCAAAATATTTCAACAGGCAGAGCTTTTATTTGTGATATGAAGCTAACTGCGCCTTACAGTTCTATGTAACAATCTATTTATTTATTTTACTTATTATTGCATATTGCTGAAAAATGCACATCAACTTCTTTCCAAAAGTAGTGCACAATCTAGTTTCCATTACTGATGTGGTTGTAAATGAACAGGAATCAATCAGGAAGCCTTTGTTAACCTTCTAACATGTTCTCAGATTGTGGAATTAAGGAGAGCATTTGGATGGGAAGGGGGTTTAACACCGCGGATGTCAACTGGTTAAGACATTTGTATAGATATGGCATATCTAAACCCGAGAAAAAAATAATTGGTCAAAGATCAGCAGTTGTTAGATGTGGTGCCTGCCTTGGTTTCTTCTTTCAGTAGTTGTACATTTACTGAAAGCACCGAAAATACCTGTTGATAATGTGAAAATTCCAGTATCCTTGTAACTTTCTGTGTACTGCACTGATATCTCAAACAATGTTATCAGCCTTCACAACTATCTTCTGTAAACTGGAAACCCCCCTACCTCATTTTGTTTTTTTAGGGTGACAAAGCTCATAGATGAATTGCAGTGAGTTAGAGTTGACATCACGAAATGTGTTACCGGCAGGTTCGCCAGGTGAAAAAAAACTTGGAAAAGGAAACTAATACAGTCAATACATCTAACGTCTGGTAAGTTTAGTGCTTAAGCTTCACACAGTTGACCTGGAAGGAGATGAATGCTGCACCCAAGCTTTACAAATCCACAGCACAAACCTCTAAACAACAACACTACTCAATCTAACCACCATGTGCAATAACTATGTATAAGAAAATGTCTTGTTAGGACCAGAGTTTATTATGCAAATCCTTAGTTGTAAAGAAGTTCTGGAACCAATACATCCATAAATATTATTAGTTTCTCTTCATTTACTCCAAGCTATAATTTGGGAATTTACTAGATTTACCACACTTTACAATAACAGCCTCTTCATTAGTAATTATGTGAGTTGTAGTAAGGGTTTCCTCTTAAAGTGTGCCAAAATACATTGTAAAACTAGCCCTGTCCATGTGAACTGGAACATGTGGTACTTGCTTTATTTTTCTTAAGTCTGAAGTTAAGATTTAAGACTTAAGTCTTAAGTTAAGGCTTGTGCAAACATGCAGATGCAGCATGAGTTCAGGTGAATTCAGATTGCATGAGTCACATTTGGGATTGTTCTAAACTGTTACATTCCCATTGGCCTGTATGCAGGAAAAGAGTTCTGATAATAACACATGCCCATGTACAAAATCCCTTTGCATTACCAGCTGTTTGTAGAGTCATCACATTCTCTATATATTACATTGTCATTGTTCCTCTTGCAATAAAGGTTCATACC